GTTTGTGTATTCTTATTGATGTCTTTATACATATATGTAAATATATACACATATACAAATGCATGTACATATATGTGTATGTTCATATAGCTATATATTAAAATCGAATTTAAAATATCTTCTATATTACTGATTTAAAAACTTGAAATATAATTTCTCAAAATGGAAAGAGAAATAAGTTTCATTGTCTATTAAGTAGAAATAAAAGTACTAGGTATTTTATGGATACTGATTTAGGAAGGTATTTGCTCAGGTGCATTTAACTTACCGCTCAATGTTGTGCTCACCCAGTACAAGAACTATTTAGGCAAAGAGTTGAAGGATAATTAATGTACCCTAATGGGCTTTTCTTTCAATATGTTGCATTGACCTACTTAAAATGTATGTGATTTGGAATTTTTTACCTTTGTTTATTCATACTCTGGAAGTGACATATACGTATAAATCTGCTTATCTGCATGAAATTAGAAGGTTATTTAAGGTAAATTTTTATTTACTTTTGCCTAGTAAATTCTCATGATTTTAGAAATAATTATCTTGAAATTTACCCTTTTGGATTATAAAGTTCGTAAGTATAGGGACTGTGTCTATCTAGTTCATCTCTATATTCTCAGCTTTTAGAACAGAGGTATTAAATAAATTTTTATTTAATATATGTATGGCGTGATGATAAATAAGAATGTAGTGGTAAGGCGATTGCATTCATTTCAGATCTTATAGTTCACTATGGTTGTATTTTTTAAGCAACTTTATATAGGAACTGCTTTGTAATTAAATTTTTATTTAATATATGTATGTATGGCGTGATGATAAGAATGTAGTGGTAAGGCGATTGCATTCATTTCAGATCTTATAGTTCACTATGGTTGTATTTTTTAAGCAACTTTATATAGGAACTGCTTTGTAATTATTTAATATCTCTTCAGATGAGAAAAAGCAAGATACAAGGAGGCTGAGGGAAGCCCTATGTAATGGATGTGAAATGGCCATTATATGTTTGTTGGTGGTAGAGCTATCAGGGAACTATCAATATCCATAAATCGCAGCTTCTCCATGCAGCCTGGGCAACTTAGTTCAGTATAGAGCTCTTCCAGAGAAGAGTTATAGACAACAACAAGTCTCTGACTCCTTTTGGTGTTTAAGGTGCAACCCACTTGCTGATTCATGGAAGTAGGTTAGTTCTTGTTGGGCCCTGCTGGTCATGACACTTAGTTCAGTAAAGACTAGGTTTAAGAAGCTTAGTGTTTGAACTTAGTTTCCCCAGGGCGAGGTTCAGTTGCTTCTTTTGCTGGGTTTCCAGTATACTTTACTTTTACCTTTATTATAGTATTTACCTCATTCTACTGAGTGCTACAGTTTGGTGTTTCTGTATATCATTCTTTTCTAGGTTCGTTCTTCCCAGTGCCGGGAATGCCTTGTCTTTGTACCTTTCATAGCTATAGCATGGTACTTTGTATAGCACAGGTTTAAACTGTTAATCCTTACAAGTGAATAAGTGGAATAATTTAAATTTTGTGGAATTAAAATTCTAGCTATAGCTCCTTTTATAAGCCACATCAAATCCTTTTCAGACAAGATCGGTATAAATAAGTAGCCACTTAGAAAAAAATTATGGATTATAGCAAGCCTGATAAAAGACAGAAGTTTGATATTTGTGTTTTTAAATAACAGCTTTATTGAGATATAATTCACATACCATACAATTCACCTACTTAAAGCGTGTGTATAGTTCATTAGTTTTTAGTATATTCACAGAGTTGTCGATCTTCACCACAAGCAATTTTGGAACATTTTCATTACCCTCAAAAGAAACTCTGCACACATGTCATTCCCTGTTTCCCTTTAACCTACTCCTGCCCTAAGCAACCATTCATCTACTTTCTGTCTTTATAGATTTGCCTGTTCTGGACAGTGGAATCATAAAACCTGTGGTCTTTCATGACTGGCTTCCTTCACTTAGCGTAATGTTTTCATGGTTCATGCATGTTATGGTATTTCATTCCTTTTTATTGCTGAATAATATTCTGTTGTATAGATACATGTTGTATTCTTTTTTTCCATTCATCTGTTGATGGACATTTGGGTTTCCACTTTTGTCTATTATAAATAATACTGCTAGATGAACATTCATATTTAAGTTTTTGTGTGGACGTATGTTTCATTTCTCTGGTGTATACAGATAGCTAGGATTGAAATTGCTAGGTCTCATGGTGACTCTACATTTAACCTTTTGAAGAACTGTCAGACTTTTCCAAGTCTGTGGTATCATTTTCCAGTGTATCGTTTTACATTTTGATCAGCAGTGTGCGAGAGTTCCAATTTTTCTTCATCCTCAACAACACTGTTATTACCTATCTATTTGATTATAGTCATCCTAATGGAAATAAAGTGGTATCTCATTATGGTTTTGATTTTCATTTCCCTGATGGCTGATGAGATTGAGTATCTTTTCATGTGCTTGTTGGCTATTTGTATATCTTCTTTGCAGAAATGTCTATTCAGATCCTTTGCCCATTTTTAATTGGATAATTTATCTTTTTATTATTAAGTTGCAAGCGTTCTTTATGTATTCTAAATACAAATTTTTTTTATCAGATATATGCTTTACAAAGATTTTCTCCTATTCTGTGGGTTATTTTTTCCACTTTCTTGATGGTATCCTTTGAAGCATAAATATTTTTTAATTTGATGAAATCTGTTTTATCTATTTTTCTTTAGTCGTTTGTGCAGAAGGTGTCACACCTTAGAAACCATTGCCTAATCCAAGGTCATTAAGGTTTAAGCCTGTTTTGTTTTAAAAGTTTTATAATTTTAGCTCTCATATTTAAGACTTTGATGCATTTTGAGTTAATTTTCGCATATGGTGCGAGATAGGGGTACAACTGTATTTTTTTTTTTTGCATGCAGAATCCAGTTGTTCCAGTACCATTTGTTAAAAAGACTTTTCTTTCACAATTGAATTGTCTTGACAGTCTTGTTGAAAATCATTTAACAGTAAAGAGTTTCTGTTGTGAAGAACATATTGTTCCCATTTTTCCTTAGTATTGACTCTAACTTTTTTATTAATTAAAAAAATTTTTCGAAACAGTCTCAAACTTATAGAAAAGTACAGTACGCATAACTTGATTTTCTTGGACCATTGAGAGTAAGTTGCCAACATGATACTGTAATGACCATGTTTGTTTGTATTTTCCACAAACAAGTATATTCTCCTGTGTAACCACAATACAACCATCAAAATCAGAAAATTAACATTAATGAATTACTGTCATTTCATTTTCAGATTCAAATTTTGTCCATTGTACGAATGGACAAAAGGATCCAGTCTAGACTCACACTTGTCATGATTCTCTACTCTTCTTTCAATCTGGAACAGTTCCTCAGTCCTTCTTGACTGTCATGACCTTGACATTTTGGAAGATTACAGGCCAGCCATTTTGTAGAATGTCTCTCAGTTGTGGTTGTCAGATGTTTCCTCATGATTAGATTCAGTTTATGCATATTTGGAGGAATATCACAGGAGTGATGTGTCCTTTTCAGTGCATTTTATTGGGGGCCCATGATTCTGCCATTACTGGTGGTATTAACCTTGATTACTTGATTAAGGTGGTGCTTGCCAGTTTTCATCACTGTTATATTAGTCTTTAATTTTGTGATTAATAAGCATTTTGTAAGAAGGCCCTCTGAGATTATATAAATCCTCCTTTTCATTAATCTTTTCATTTATATCTGCATGGACACTTATATTCCTATTTTTTTAATGACATATTTCCTTATCAGTATTTGTACTGATGTTCCAATTGTTTTAGATTTGATAATGGGAGTCCCTTTAAGCTGGCTTCTTTATTTCATCATGGCTTCTCATTCTTTTAGCACTTGTTTAATTACTTTTTGGCATAATGTTCCAGGTTCACTTGGTACTATACTGCTGTACCCCAGCCCTGGAATCAGCCACTTCTTCAAAGAGCTCTGGTTCTTTTTAGTAAATAATGGCATTAGAAACTAAGATCGAGGTGGTAGGTGTGCATATTGGGGTGTTGCTGATCCCAGGACCTCTCAAAGAACAGACCTAGTGAATAATATAGACATTTATGTCTGTCTACATCTGTCTTTCTGTCTGTCTGTCTAATGAATTCCATGACTTCACATCTGTAGCTGCAATTCCAGTCCAAACCATAGTATTCATTCTATTTTTTACCTTTCTGTATTTGTAACTGACTTTTTAGATATGAAAAACCTGGTTCCTATTATTTTTAATGGTTTTACTTATTTGATCCATCTCTTTGTATGTACCCAGTCTCTTATAGCTATTGCTGTATTCCCCTGCCACCTCCCATCCCCCATCCAAGTAGAAACTCTTTTCACCTTTATATGGCTTTGCCCCACTGCTTTGGGATGCCCATCTCTGAGGACTGTGTCCTTGTTAGCATGGTCTGTAACACTCTGTGCCACCTGGACCCCATGCCACTGCCCTTCTTACTTCACTCAGCTTCAGTGCCCTGTGTTAGGCTTCCCCTGTGAGCATACCCCACTTAACCTGCTGGAGCGCCGAGGTCTTGTGCCGTGCTGCTTTCCTCCTGTATGGATATAGTCCTCCCTCAGCTGCTTTGGGCTCTGACCCCAATTCTTGGCCATTGTGACCAGGCTATCATGACCAGCCCCACTTAATGGCTTTTGGACTGAATTGTTTGTGAAGGGTTGTCATACTGCCTTTTGAAAGATAGTGAACCTTTTTTTGGACATCTGTTCAGAATGAAAAGTTAGTGTTTTATAAGAATGATGGGAAAAAACTAAATAGCTTGAAAATCTCACTTTTCAGACAATTGTTGGTATAGTGCTAAAAAGATCCCTTTTTTGGCTGATGTTTAACATTTAACAAAACACAATTTGATTTATAATTACTTGAATCATAATGTATACTGGTTAATGAGCAGTTCCTGGTGAAATTAGAAAACAAATGATATGTTACATATACAAAGTAATATTAATTTCTCTTCTAGCTCTTCCACCGAAGCCACCTAAGCCAGTGACTTCAGCCGTTACAAATGGAATGAAGGACAGTTCTGTTTCTCTTCAGGATGCAGAATGGTACTGGGGGGATATTTCAAGGTAACTAGAATGCTACTATGAATGCAGTTTTTTAAAAACTCATTTTTGAGAATTATTAGGTAAAATAAAGCATTTTTATGTCTCATTAGTTGTCATTTAAAGATTACCATTTAAGAAATCGTGTGAGAACATTTCAAAAGTTTCTAAATGCTTTTCTTCCCACAAAAAAAAATGACATGAAAATCTTTAGATTATGGGTGTGATTTTACTTTTAATTCTGTATTGAGGATAGATTTCTGAATAAATGAAACATACATTTGAGATAGTTACATATGTCTTAGGATAAAAGGAACTTAATTTTCTTTACTTTTCTGTTTCTAAGGCAATGGTTCCACAGTCTTTACATACACAAGAATCAATTGGGGTGGGGCCCAGGAATCTGCATTTAATAACCTCCCCACGTGATTTTGATGGCACTCTTCACTTACCTCATTTTGGGAAACAGGACTCTTGGATATATTTACCTTTTGGGTAAAATGTGGTTTTGGAAAATTTTGGAACTAGAGAAGGAAAAAAATATACATATGTATTTTTAAAATTTGAATATCATATTTTCTTGTTTTTAAAAACTGTTATCCATTTCTGCCAAGTCAGGTTTCAGGTTGATGCTGTATTCAGGTTTATGCTTGTCCTTCTCTTTCTCATGTCTGTTCTCTCCCATTACTAGAGTGGCATTTATTTTTTTTTCCTTCCCATGTTAACCATCTTCAAGTGTACAGTTCAGTGGCATAAAGTACATTTATTTAAATTGTTGTTCAAGCATCACCACCATCTACCTCTGGAACTATTTCATCTTCCCAAAGTGAAGCTCTACCCATTAAACAATAACTCCCCTCTCCTCCTATTCTCACCAGCCGCCTCCCTGGCAGCCATTATCCTACTTTTGTTTCTATGAATTTGACTACTCTAGATACCTCATATAAATGGAATCATACAATATTTGTCTTTTTGTGACTGGCTTATCTCACTTCGCATAATGTCTTCAAGATTCATCCATGTCGTAGCATATGTCAGAATTTCCTTTTTTAAAGCTGAATAATATTCTATATATATGTATGTATGTCACATTTTAATTTCTTCATCTGTACATTTGGCTTTGATGAATATTTGAATTGTTTCCAGCTTTTGGCTATTGTGAATAATGCTGCTATGAACGTTGTATAAATGTTTGTTCAAGTCCTTCCTTTCAGTTCTTTTGGGTATACATCCCAAAAGTGGAATTTTTGGGTTATATGATAATTCTATATTTATTTTTTTGAAGATGACATATATTAAAATTAGAAAAATTTTATTTTAGCATTGTACATTAAAAGGACCTATTATATTTAAATACCATTTAAGTTTATATTTTAAGACCACATTGTTCTATAATTCAAGGGTCTTTTATGCCCTGACATTTTCTTTGAGAGTTGTAGTGCTAAATCAGCTCTGCAGAGGAATTTATCAGTATAAATTCATATTGGAGAGTATTATTTTGAAAGACTATGAACTTAGTGAATTTCACCCCCCTCTGATCAGACAGCTGCCACCATTCTTAAATATAACCTCCTTTCTAAACAGCTGCTATTTTTTTCCTGAAACTCTGCAAGTTCAGACCTGCCTAAGGAAGCCCTAAGGGCTTAATGGAAAACCTATCCCCTACAGACTGTTGAAATCTGGAAGAGTTTTAAGAAGCAAATAACCCTTCCTTAGATTGCATAACACTGAAAATCAAAACACAATGAACATACCTAGGGGGAAGAACTAAATGACCTCTGAAGGCCCCCATGATTCCCTAGCCTTAGATATACCTACCTCCTAACTAGCCTTAGTAATAATAAATGAAGAGAGAATAAACAATGCTTATGTTTTTTCATTTTTCCTATAATTCTTCAGGGAGGAGGTAAATGACAAATTACGGGATATGCCAGATGGTACCTTCTTGGTCAGAGATGCCTCAACAAAAATGCAGGGAGATTATACTTTGACTTTACGGTAAGTATTTTTCAGCATTTTGGTTAGTGTTCTACTAGCATTATTTATTTCTGGGTATATGAAGGTTTTTGTATTTTATTTAAATCTATATACACGTTTTTCATATTTTTATTTAATCTAGATACATAATTTTTAGTTATTTGTCTTTTTTCTATACATTAAATATTTAAATGTCATATAAAAATGGCAACAATTTTTATTTTTATGTAGCAATAAAATTTTAAAATCTCTAAATTTGAGTAAGTAAGAAGTATACTGTTGACCTTATGAGTGAAGGAGAAGTCATGTGCACAGCCTAAGGTTATTAATGATATTTTTGGGAATTCACTCCTCTAATAACTCTATTATTTTCCTTAATGCAGACTTCAGAGAGTAAAACTTAACCTTATTTAGACTGATGAGGATATGTAGAAAATAAGCAATTCTCAGCCTATATCATGCCACCCATGTGGGCATATTAGAATCTCATAAGTAGTGGATGTATCACTTTATATTTACAAAAATGGGACATTTTAAGATTAGGAAAACTGCATTAATATTTCCACATTTAATTTCAACAATTAAAATAGCCTAATTACGATAAAGTCTTGTGATTTTTTAAAAAGGGACTATCTAAAAAAAAATGATTTCAACAGCAACAATGACAACTCCCTGTAGTAAGCATTTTGTATGTAGTAGCTTATTTATTCCTCACAATAGCCTTATGAGGTAGGTATTAATACTTCCATTTGATAGATGAGGCAACTGAACTTTAACCTGGTTAAGAAACTTGCCTAAAGACATATATAGCTAGTAAGTGTTAAAAGATAAGTTCAAATCCATGTTTAACGATTAGGAGAGAGTATATATAGGGCCAGAAAAAGATTCAAGTACCATTTACATCTACAGAGTGATGACTCTATTTTCTACTTCTAGCCCAGACCTTTCTCCTGAACTTTAGATTCTTCAAGTAGACTGCTGGATCATCTGCTCTTGGATGTTCCCTAGGCATCTTAAACCTAACATTCCTGAAAGCAAAATGTTTTTTTCCCTTTAAACTTATTTTTTTTTGTATAGCTTTTTTTATTTCAATAAATGACAATTTCATTCTTCTAATTGCTTAAGATAAAACCCCTGAAATCATCTTAATCTTGTCTCTTTCTCTCATACCCATATTCAGGCCATCCTGTCAAGCTCTCTCTTGAAAATATATTCAGAATCCCACCATTTCTCAGCATCTCCACTGCTACTACCCTTGTCTAAGACACCATTATCTCTTGCCTAGATTATTTTAGTAGCTCTCAACTGATCTTTCTACTTCTACCCCTGCCCACTTTGAATGATCTCAACCCAGCAGCTAGAGTGAATCTTTTAAAACACAAAATAGATGATATTCTACTCAAACCCTCTTGTGTCTCCTCATCTTACTCAGTAAAAGTAAGTGTCCTTACATGATATAAGCTCCTTTTACAATCTCTTAATTCACTTCCTACTACTCTCCCTTTTGCTAATTCATCCCCAGCATTACTGGCCTCTTTGCTGTTTTTTGAACATACCAAGCTTGCTTTTAACTCAGGGGCTTTGCACTTGCTGTTCTCTCTGCCTGGAAAGCTTTTTGCCTAGGTATCTACTGGGCTGGCTCCCTCACTTTGTTTAAAACTCTGAACAGAGTGGTTTTCTTTGTGCAACATGCATAAAATAGCAATCCTTCCACCCCCAGAACTCTCTTCCCTTTACTCTGCTTAATTTTTTTCAGTCGGAGTATTACCACTTGATATGTCTAGTTGTTTATTTTTACGTTCTATCTATTTTATCCTCTTTATAAGCTTAAAGATGGAGATATGTTCCTTATGCTCCTAAACTGGAAGTTCCGTGTGAGCATGGACTGTTTCTGGTTTGTTTATCACTGTGTCCAACTGTGTCATATAGTTCCTGGCACATAGTAGGTGTTCAGTAATTTGTTTTGAGTTAACAAGTGCCTTTTAACTTTTCTCTGCCGAGAGAACAGCTTGCATTTATTGAGAGTATATATGCAGGTGTACACACCTATAGGAACTACATATGATTATTGGTCCTACTAATGTATATTTTATAGGAATAGTTCGTCATCTATCTAAATACTGACCTTCTAAGCATTATTTAATTTAAATCAGTCCATAGATTCAAGTCTGCTGTGTTTGACCTTTCACAAATCCCAGTGCCTCATTTATTATGTGTAATAGCATGGCATAAAGAGATATAGAGGCATATTTTTCCCCTATTAAGTCAACATGCTGCTATAAGAAGAGTTGAGTGGAAACGATGCAGTATTTTGCTAAGACATAATGAATCAACCTGATGTGGTTTTAGATTATGCCTTATAGGACTTGCAGAACATTGCCATTTTAAGCTTTGGTTATAAATTATCTTTTAAGGGACCATTGGATAGAGCTCAATAAACAAAAAGTGGTCAAAACTATTCAAGCATAAAATTATACTCATCTAATATAAATAGCTCTTCCAAAGCTATATTTTGTAAAACAGTTGAATGACAGTTGAATAATTTACATATTGTGATGGCCTAAATAAAGTCATTTCCAAGAATTATAAGCACATATAAAAGATAAAATAATGTAAGTTGCTAGATAAATTACTCAGTTATAAATCATTCTAGGAGTTTAATTTTGTTTGGTCATTACCTTGAATGTGTTGGTGATTGTGTGACAAATGTTTATCATCTTCCTTCATATAGAGATGGCTTCTGCTTCCCTCCACAGACAACCACATAATCTTTAGGTCCTAAAGAAGTTGTTTCTGTTCTTCTTGAAAATATATTGATAGAATATAAATTAGAAAATTCATTCAGAAAATAAAAGATATAGTATACTTCTATTTCTATTATTTTTCTTAAAGTGGTTATTTTTGCCAGATTTATTGATAATGAATGATGTGTATGTATGTTGACCTTTAGTAACCAAGAGAGAAGAAATAGTTGTAAAAATAATATGACATTATTTTACACACATAATTATGTCTTTTCATCTGTTCCAGTCTCATTAGTATAATAAAACTTGTTTATTATGTGACACCAAGCTTTTATATCTATACGTGAATGTAATACTTTGTGGAATTTGGGGGGAAAAAATCTACAGTTGTTGTCTTGTTGTTCACAGGAAGGGAGGCAATAATAAATTAATAAAAATCTATCATCGAGATGGTAAATACGGCTTTTCTGATCCTCTGACATTTAATTCTGTGGTGGAGCTCATTAACCACTATCATCATGAATCTCTTGCTCAGTACAATCCCAAACTTGATGTGAAGCTAATGTACCCAGTGTCCAAATACCAACAGGTATGATTACAGAAGTTCTCGATAGCTATTCAGCAAGTCATTATTTAACATCATCATTTGATTCTAATTTACCAGGCTTATCAGTTAAAAAAAAGAAATCTGGTCATTTTTAATTTTCTACTGAAGATTTAAGAATTGTAAAACTTATTTTGTGGCAACTATTTCTTAATAACTTGTTGCATGTATTTATTAACTTTATGTAAAAATATTTCTATTTATATTTCCTATTTATAATTCATTTCTTAGTTTTTAAAGTATTAACTATTTTTTTGTAATCTAAAGGCTGATCTTAGTGTTAACAAAAGGATTTAGTGCTTTTGCATGCTTGATATTAATATAATGGCTTAAACTTACAGTATAAATACAATTTAAAAATAAATAGGGATAGAAAATTCATGTCAGAATTATTAACATTCTTTATTTCTTTTGTTTACCTGTATAGGATCAGTTGGTAAAAGAAGATAACATTGATGCAGTTGGTAAAAAACTACAGGAGTATCACTCCCAGTATCAGGAAAAGAGTAAAGAGTATGACAGGCTATATGAAGAATACACGAGAACATCTCAGGTTTGTATATTTTTGTTGTTTAGGTCAATAAATATGCAGTGTTACAGTTACATTACATTTTTTTAAAATTCACCTAACAATCTTTAGCTGTCTTAATATCTTAAATAGACTTTTTTGAGATTGATGATATAAATTCGTCTCCCATTCATAAATCACTTTTTTATTTGTTAATGTATTTTATATCAGTATTACCTAGGATAAGGTTTGACTACAAGTGACAAAAAAAAAATCCAAAATAGCGAAGGCTTCCGGTAGAAATTTATTTTTCTTTTATGTATAGGCAGTATAGGGTGTTATGTCAACTACATAGTCATTAGGGCCTAGGATTCTTCTGTCTTGGTGCTTTGCTATCTGTGGAAGTTGGCTTACTCAAGTATCAGCCATAACCATATTCTAGCAAACAGGAAGGAAGAATAGGAAAGAGGAAGGAACATTACTTATTTTTAAGGCTAGAAGAAACATATACTGCTTCCACTTTCCTCTCACTGGCTGGACATAGCTACAGATCATAATTAGCGGCAGCAGAGGCTGAGAAAGCTAGTCTTTATTTGATCAGGTGTGCCCAATAACATTTGGGAGTTTACTGAGGAAGAAGAAATTAATGGAAATTGTGGGACCATTAGTAGTCACAGCCACACAGTTTTTAGATCATAAACCTTAATAATCAATATTTCTTTTATTACATTTATGATATAAAGCAAAATTCTGAAGAATAATCTATTCTTTTCCTAGAACAGCTTTGATTCTGTACTTGGATTGGTTTAGTTTGCCCTGGGTTGTTACATAGTATATAAAAGGTCTGAGAATTTTTATGAAGGTGCAGATTTTCAGGGAAGCTTATTTGTTGCAATATTTGGGTTAATAGTAGCCTAAGAAAATATATTTTACTTGGTTTCTCATGTATATTCTTTTGAAACACAGGTTATTACTTTGAACATCAAGTGATTTACAGAAGCATTAGTCTGTGGCATGATTTTGGCTTGTATAGAGCTGCATTTCTGCTTTCTGTCATGACTAGAAAAAGCAGAGAAAGCTCCACATGCTGCCAATATGCTCAGTAATATTGGGAATTTAACAGCAGATTATGAGTTCTGAACAGCTGATATGAGACTGGGTTCTGGACTTGGAACCCCTGGTTGGAGAGCTGTGTAGGGGTTAGATGGAAGCAACCAAAAAGTCACTAGGTTGAAGGTAGAAGAGGGCTAAATTTCTATAAGTGAGAGAATTGAGAGCAAGACTTAAGGTAGGGCTGAGCAGATAAGAGCCACGGAGTCTTAAAGCTTTGGGAGGTGGGGACGAGAGGGAGGGATACAGCGATCAGTACAGGCAGGAGATGTGTTAAAGGGAGACTAAAAAATTGACCTCAGTCTACTGCCATGCTACCCTGAACAAGCCCCATTCTGTCTGATCTTGTAAGTTAAGCAGGGTCAGACCTGGTTAGTAATTGGATGGGAGACCACCTAGGAAGCCAGGTGCTGTAGGTGTAAAAAATAAAAACATAAGGGATTGTAAACTGACAAGGTCCTTGCAATCTGTGAAGTCAACTAAGGGCTACCTCGCCTAAAAAAAAAAAAAATCTGAAAAAAATTTGACCTCCTCTGTTTATAAGTGTTATAGACCTCCTCTCTTTTTTTTTCTGTGCAATCTTAGATAAAATCTAGATTGCTTTGATGTAAGTGAATTCTTCCCAGAGAATGGGAAAGAGATGGTATATCCTGAGTCAGGGTTGGCACAGGGTGAGAATAGACTACATATGGAGATATTTGACATCTGGAATACATATAATTAGGAGGAAAAGTGATAGGACTTAGTGATGGATTGGGATATGAGACAGGAATTTGGCAATGAGGTCACTGGTGACCTTGGAAAGAGCAGTCCTCTGTGGAGTGATGAGTACAGAAGCCAGAATAGAATGAGTTGAAGTGTGAATGAGAGATGAGGAAAGAGAGACAGGCCATATAGACGACTCTTTCAAGAAACTTAACTGTGACTGGAAGAGAATTTAGGGTTAGGATTTTTTTTCAGAGTAGTATAATTGGAACTTGTTTGTATGTTGTTGAGAAGGAATTATTAGATTGGGAGAGTTAATGATGTAAGAAGAACTGGCTGATGTGATAGAATGAAATACCTAAGAAAGGAAGAGGAAATGATACCCATAACATGTAGAGAAAGGGAGGAGAAAGAAGGGATATAGATACAGGTGAATTTATAGTTTCGGTGGTAGGCATAGTGGCCTTGTTTAAGGGGGAGCTGCTGCTTTGGCTGTGATATCACTTTTTTCCCCTTTGCTCCCCTACCTACCAACACATATACCAGTGTTAGTAAAGCCTAAATTATTGGTGTTTTCTTTGAAGATACAGGGCCAGAGCTTTATAGGTAATTTCTAACCTTGCAAGGGAGACAAGATCCTCCACTGTAATTTGAGAGTTGTAGAATTTGTAATAGATATGTGGTCATTTCTATAAGTTTACAGTACTATTTGAGATATGTATGATATAACCTCAACTATATGGACCATCATAAGGTTCTAGCTTCCCTCATATGCTAATTCCCTTATGTTCCAGCCCTACTGAGCAATTGCTGATTCCTGAACATCCCCTATTATTTCATGTACACACCGTGTTATGCCATCTATGTGTAATGCAGTATTTTCTTCCCCCCACCCCAAATGTTGCCTTCTCTGTGAAGTCTCTGTAAAGCAATAAGTAACTAATTTGCTCCTCTTGATTTCCTCTACCTTGTCCTGAAACAAAACCTGTTACAGAGTTCAGAAATCTGTTTCACATGTGTATTCCGAAGCCTGAAGGGTAGGCTCCAAGTTTTATGAATCTGTCATCAGATGGTATTTTCTGTATAGTGGATTTTCTGTAATCATTTGTTGAAATTAATGCTTGATAGTTGAGGAATTATCCTGTAAGCACCAAACCTTTAAAAATTGTAAACATTCAGTAGAGTAATCTTTCTAGACCTTTATACAGGTTTTTTTGACCTTCTAAAGTAAATGGAACAAAATCTAACCCTCTTTGAAGGTTTTAGGGGAATCATGATTCAGATGCTAAAGTCTACAAATACCCTCAGAGCTCATCGAAATGTGTAGGACTATTTACCCTAGTGCTGAGTGCCTTAGCCTACTGGGCTTTCGTTCGATAGAGTTTTTAGTTTTTCATCTTATTCTGTATCTGATTTTACAGCTATTTTTCTTCTTCATTTTCTGCTTCTAATCAGATTAATCTACAGATGAATGTTTAGAAAACTACATGCTTTAGAAATGAAAGAACAGACTCTGTAGGTCTCTTCTATGAATAAGGCTTGCACGTTGGTGCCTGGACTCTGCTCTATCCATTCACTCCTTCAGGACCTTTTGGGCGCCAGCACTACAATAGGTGCAAAGGCAGAACTTTATCCTTTAAGGTGTTCAGGGTTAATCCTCTTAGCAACTCAGAGGCCTTTCTGTGGCTTTCAGCTATATTTCAAGTACTAGTTCTTTTCTTTTTTACTTTTAGGGTTTGGATGATGCATTTTGCATATAAGTAATAAGGGTAGGAGTTAAATAAAGGGTCTTGTTTAAGCCCTCCAAATTTGGTCTAAATTATAAGTAGAATTATAAGACTTGTTGGAAGACCAACATTACAAAAAAAAAAGATAATGAGGTATATGTCTTTTTTTTTCTCTCCTATAGGAAATACAGATGAAGCGGACTGCAATTGAAGCTTTTAATGAAACAATTAAAATATTTGAAGAGCAGTGTCACACACAAGAACAATATAGCAAAGAATATATTGAGCGATTTCGCAGAGAGGGGAATGAAAAGGAAATTGAACGGTAAATCTTCCTAATACATTACTCCAAGTACATCAGTGAGACAAGACTTGCTTTCTCCCCCAGTCATCTCTGTTGTGTCTGTTTTTACTCCTCAAGATTTCACAGTCCTGCCATATGGAAATACTTGCCTTTCCCACTAACAGCACCAAACTGAACCACCTCTCTTCTGCATTCTTTCTCCATCCGTCTAAATGCTAACTCCTCATCCTTTAGGACTCAGCTTAGACATGACTTTTTCTAGACAATCTACCCTGATTTCCTAGACTGGCTTGAAGGCTTTTTGTCCCTACCCCTATAGTATCTGGTTCCAATCCCTACTATAACATTAACTGAATGTCCCACTCACTAAACTGCAGGCTTGTTGACAGTAAGGATGATGGCTTATTTTCCCTGATAGTTCCAGCAACTGGTATCGTGCCAGGGAGTACATAGTGATGCTCACTGAATATTTTTTGAACTGAAAGTCAACAGCAGCAGTTTGAGAATAAATTGGAGGCGGAACAAGATTGTGGGCGGGAAGAGCAGCCTGACTTGCAGGTGACTGTGGTCCTTGTGGTCATCAAGTTTTTAAGATGGTGAGGGCCTGAATCGGAGCAAAGGCAAGAAAGGAGGGGAAGTTAATGGAAATGCTGAGGACTTGAGGCCTGACCAGGAATGGTAGATATGGGATAAGTCAAGATTATTTCTAGTGAGTGAGGGATATGAGTGACTAAGGGATGGTGTTATCCAAAATAGAGTATGTGAAGAGAGTTTGAGGTTGAAACCAATGAGTTTGAGGTTCCTGTGAGAACCCAAATGGAGTTGTCTGAAAGGCTACTGGATTTGGGGCTCAGGGTACAGAAAGGATTTGGGAGGCATAAATGTGAGATTACAAAGGGAGAATGAGTAGCATGAGAAGTCTTGGATTTGACAGCTAAAAGGATAGTGGAAGCCTTTATCAAAGCAAATTTAGTGGCGTACTGGAAGACTGAGCCAAATAACAGTGAGTCGAGGAGTGAAAAAGTGGATAATAAATAATAATGAATCATATGCAAGGGAAAAGCAAAATTCTTTCTCATATTAACACCAAAGTGTTAGTGAACCCTTGTGTTCAAAAGAATAGGGCTGAATGCTGTGAGGCATTATAGCTTAATGGTTATAACTATAGGCTTGAATTCTGTATTCACTGTTTACTAGCTGTGTGACCTTAGCCGAGTTACTTAATTCTCTGAGCCTGTTTCTTTCTCCATAAACTGTGAATAATATCTTGTTCAAATGCTGTGAGAGTTAAGTGATACACACACACGGTACATAAAGGCATGTTTGTGTGTGTGTATGTTGGCGTATATTATCCATAAATGGCAATTAATAATGAAGAAGTAGAAAATAACTTGTAGTTTAGTTGCAAGGGGAGGTAAAGTAGCATGATGAAGTTTTAATAGTAATATAAAACCACACATTGAGTGACAAATGAGTAATGTGGACAATTGTTGCCCTAAGGATTTAGAGCATAGCTAAAGTTTGTGTGCTGGAAAAGCTTATAGCCATCATCTACTGAGTGCTTACCAAGATCTACCAGGTTCTTTTATGTGTATTAATTTACACAGTAACCCAGTGAGGGTAGGTATTGTTTAGGTACCCATTTTAAACAGAAGAGGAAATGAAGGCACAGAGAAGTTAAATAACTTGCCCATAGCCATACAGTAAGTGGCAGGCCAGAGATTCAAACTTAGGCGGCCTGACTGCAAAGCCGTTGCTCTTAAATGCTATGTTGTGTTATCTCTTGATAGCATACATATAACTATACCTGTTCAATCATGGCTTGATCCAGGGCCCAAATAAGGCCATCAGGATTCTCTCTCATACTGTCTTTTGGTTTAGTTTTTTCTCTTGTATTGGCTTCATCCTCAGGCGGCTTTCTGTATGAGGTGGCCATAGAGCAGCTGGGAGTGCTACTAGCACATAAGTATTCATAATTTAGCAATCCTAGTGGACAGAGAGAATCTGTTTACAGTAGTTCTAGCAAAAGTCCTAAAATTGACTCTCATTGTGTCAGTTTAGGTATTGTATTATTCCATTCCTGAACCAGTCACTGCTGCCTGAAGGTAGGGATAGAATGGAATAGAATACTCTTATTGGCCAGGCTGGGTTGTGTGGATGTTCACCCCTGAACCTGAGATGAGGGTAGGGACCATCAAGATGCTATTACGAGAAGAGTGAGAATGGATATGGGCCACCTGAAAACAGCAGATGTAGACCATACTTAAGATATCAGGACTCTGATTACACTATAGAATGCTCCTGCTTGGTTCCTATTTTAGCCTTAATATGTCAAACATTTTTACAGAATTATGATGAATTATGACAAATTGAAATCACGTCTGGGTGAGATTCATGATAGCAAAATGCGTCTAGAGCAGGATTTGAAGAAACAAGCTTTGGACAACCGGGAAATAGATAAAAAAATGAACAGTATTAAACCTGACTTGATCCAGCTGCGCAAGATCCGAGATCAGCACCTTGTGTAAGTAGTCCGGGCCTGTGTGGGAGGGAACCACCTGCACCAGATTGCTGCTGGCATTTAAAAGTGATAGAGGTAGAAGAGTTTGTAATTGAGAACTGGCCAGTGAGACTGTAGGAAAGCATTCCTGTTACTAGTAGCGGTACTAGAGTTTACCTAAAGTCAGTGTGTGGGAGGACTCTAATTTGTACAGGTGCCTTGGAAATCTCAGAGAGTGGCTGTGGCATGAGCAAAGTGATATAGCTTAAAAAGTACAGACTAATGTTTGTCTAAAACACAAAAACCAGAACCTGTGGTTATATAGTAGAACCACAGAAATTATCCCTCATGGGCTCGGGCAAAGACACTAATAGTGGGGGGGCCTATAAATAAGTGTACAAAAAGCGTATTAACGGATTTTTATTTTGAGAAATGAAATTCCATACTTAATAGAAATGTGTCGATAGCAGGCTGAAAGACAATTTGACCTAAGAAGTGAAACCAGCTCTTTAATATTATGGAAAACTATATGAGTTAGCTAGATATAGGGATAGTATCCAGATATATGTAGATTGAAAGATATATTATCAGAACAAATTGCGTGGATTGGGTTTTTAGGACAAAAGAAGGAGAAAATCCACAACAAAGGAAAATACGTTAGGTTTAATTCTAGGTAATGGATAGACTGTAATGAAATATGTTTGTGGGTGACTTCCATGCATGTAAAACAACTCAATTCAAGCTCTTGGCAGGAGAAGACAGAGTAAAGACATATGACTGGGTTTTCCATAGTCATATAAGAAAGAGAGAAAGGGATAAAATAGAAGCTTAGAGGTTAGAATAGTGGCTGTTGAGTTTCAGTAGAGGACAGTGTAAAGCGATTGTTCTAGAGGCAAACAGTCACAACTACACTGTGCTGAGTTGTTTTAGTAACACTGCTCTCTAGAGATCATTTCAGTTTGCTGTTGTGGCCCCAAAAATGTCAAGCAAGTACACATAGCACACAGAAGGGCTTTGCAAACAAGGCAGAGAGATGCCTTTGTCTAAAGCTAGGGTGCGTGCCTGCTCTTGGAATGCTTACATGGTTCTGGTCACATAATGAATCTGAAGAAGGGCCCAAGAAGTCTATGCCAGGGACCAAAGCAATGAATGGAAGTACTTTTTTGCCCTGGAAAGTGATATTAAGAAATATACCATCCCATGGGTCAAGATTGAGTGTGGCCAACTCGACTTTGAAAGTTCTTTTAATGAATTATGTAAGCTAAATATAAAGAGGAGTTTAGATAGTATCATGACCTGCTTTACTAGCCATGACCTGCTAGTAAAGATAACTAGGATATTTAGGGAGACACAGACAGCCACTACCTCTTTTGGAAGGGTTGCTTCAGGGAGGATAGTCCAGTGTTCCATAATCCATGCTTTGATGTTTCTAGCAAAGACAGTATTAGGCTTGGTGGACTGGATTTGTTCCAGTGCCAAAATTGTCTAGTCAGTCCTGAAGGAGACTGGTTGTAAAATGTGTGCTGCATGACACTGAGTATGCTCTCTCGTCCAATTTTGAAGTTGGAATAGGTTGGAATTCTGCAGGGCCCAACTATGTCATTAGTTCATCAGGCCCCCTTAGTTGTGGACATTTCCCTGACTTCCTACTGCATATAGCCCACAAGGATTTTATGAGATTCTCTGCTGAGATCCCAGTGCTCTTTTTCAGAATATTCTTGAAAACTTAAACATAGACTTTCATTTCTTAAATATACAATAAAAATGTTTTTAAATATAAAATCCTTTAAAATTTTTTTTTAAAAAAGGAATTTGGTGGTTCACGTGCAATTCTTTTTTCATCAGGAGTTCACTGCCATGATTATCATTTACTTTTCTTGGTATTCATAAACTCAAAATAAGGAATAACTTATAACAGTACAGGTACATTAATGATGAGTTTTGAGTAACATGTACTAGGGGAGTTTGAAGCTAAAGGAGTTTTGTGGAGAGTGGTGTGTTATTTTTTTAAGCAACGTTATTGAGACGTTCACATCACATACAGTTCACCCACTTCAAAGAGTCTAATTCAATGTTTTTATTATATTCACAGATACATGCAACCATCACTATAGGCAATTTTAGAATGTTTTCATCACCCCAAAGAAACCATATACACTTAACCTATCTCCCTGTTCCCTCCAGCTCTAAACAACTATGAATCTATTTTTTGTCTCTATGCATTTGCCTATTCTGAATACTTTATGTAAATGAATCATATAATGTGTAGTGTTTTGGAAATAGCTTCTTTCACTCAGCATAGTGTTCTTAAGGTTCATCCATGTGTAGCATGTATCAGTACTTCATTCCTTTTTATGGCCAAATAATCCATTGTATGGATATACCACATTTTGTTTAATTGTTCATCAGTAGATAGATATTTGGGTTGTTTCTAACTTTTGGCTATTAGGAATAATGCTGCTCTGATCATTTGTGTACAAATTTTTGTATGGACATATATTTTCAGTTCTCTTGAGTATATGTTGAGGAGTAGAATTGAGGGTCATGGTATAACTGTGTTTAACTAAAGAACTGTCAGACTTTTCTAGAGTGGCTACACTGTTTTACATTTCTACCATTGATGGTCTGTTTTTTTGTTTTGTTTTTTGTTTTTAAGGAATCATTCCTTAATTTATCTCATAACAGACATTTTAAAGGTAATTTTTCATTTCAAAATGTCTTATATATTATCTCAATTTTTTGGGCATATTGGTCTGATACACTTTTTTTTCTCAATTAGAGTTGATATTCAATATTATTTTGTTAGTTTCAGGTGTACAGCTTAGTGGTTAGACATTTATATAACTTACAAAGTAATCCCCCATTAGTACCCATCTGGCTCTATACATAGTTATTACAGTATTATTGACTATATTCCCTATGCTGTGCTTCACATCCCTAGGATTGTTTTGTAACTACCAACTTGTATTTCTTTTTAAAAATTTTTAAATTTATTTTTTTAAAATTAATTGGTAACATTGGTTAATAAAATTATATAGGTTTCAAGAATACAATTCTGTAATACACCATCTGTGTATTGCATTGTGTGTTCACCACCCAAAGTCAGATCTCCTTCTGTCACCATATATTTGACTTCCTTTACCCTTATCTACCTCCCCGCTCTCCCCTTTCTCTCTGGTAACCACTAAATTGTTGTCTGTGTCTGTGAGTTTTTGTTTGTCTTACTCTCCTTTGTTGCCATGTGATTTCACTCATATGTGGACTATAAAACTGAAAGTAACAAACAAACAATTTGTATTTCTTAATCCCTTCACCTTTTTCACCAGACCCCCTGGCAATCATCAGTTTGTTCTCTGTATCTATGAGTCTGTTTCTGTTTTGTTTATTTTGTTCTTTACATTCCACATATAAGTGAGGTCATGTAATATTGTCTTTCTCTGCCTGACTTATTTAACTTAGTATAATAACCCTCTAGGTCTGTCCATGTTGTCATAAATGGTAAGATGTCATTCTTTTTTATGGCTGAGTAATATCCCATTGTAAATACATACCACCTCTTCTTTATTCAGTCATCTATTGATGGACACTTAGGTTGGTTCCATATCTTGGCAATTGTACATAGTGTGGCAGTGAGCATATATCTTTTCGAATTAGTGTTTTGAATTTCTTCAGATAAATACCCAGAAGCATATTCCTGGATCATAAGGTAGTTCTATTTTTAATTTTTTGAGAAACCTCCATATTGTTTTTCATAGTGGCTGTACCAATTTGCAGTTCTACCACAGTGCACGAGGGGGTTGGTTCTCTTTTTTCCACATCCTGGCCAATACTCATTGTTTTTGATTTATTGATGATAACCATTCTAATAGGTGTGAGGCGATGTCTCATTGTGGTTTTAATTCGCATTTCTCTGATGACTAGTGGCACTGAGTATCTTTTTATATGTCCATCGGCCATCTGTTTGTCCTCTCTGGAGAAATGCCTGTTCATGTCCTCTGCCTGTTTTTTAATTGGATTGTTGTTGTTGTTTTTTTTGGTGTTGAGTTGTATGAATTCTTTATAAACTTTGGGTATTAACCCAAAGATGTATCATTGGCAAATATCTTCTCCCATATTAGCTCCTTTCTATATAGAGAATGAGAAGTTCTGCTTATGAAACTTGGTGCAAGACAAGTTGTATTCTTCTTTTTCTTTAAATTAAAATTAATTGATTCCAAGTTCTCACTTTCTTAATTATATGAAAAGTGTTTTATCTCAGTTATGATTAGGGCTCTTTCCACCTCCTACACATATACACATACACTTGGATCCTTTAAGAATGTCATTAAGAAGTACTGCCAGGAAAATAGTGGAGCAGAAGTCCCTTGTCTCATCACTGCCATCACTGGGTGTTTCTTCTGCCCCTAATCATTGGGTTCTTCCATCTGGTTAAATACTACTGTTCCAGAAAATTCAGAGGTGTTCTTTTTAGTAATCTCCTTATTGGTCACCAACAGACACTGCATCTTAAAACCTTCTTGTCCTCCATCCAGGGTACTTTGTGCATGAGGCACCCTTTTCTGTTACCCTATCTCAGGCTCTAGCAAAGTATAAATTCTCCTCCAGGACTTCTGCTTCAGATTCACAGTGTTTCTTCCTACTCCCCTTTCAGGGATTGCCTAGTTAATTCTCTTCCTTGGACTAAAACACAAGCTCTTTTCCTGTTAGGGAGTGGTAGTTGGATTCTAAGGTTAATTACACCTTTAGAAAGGACAAAATGTATACATATAGTTTTTACTACTTGCTGCATTGGGGACTGGGTATGGATATGCTAACACCTTTATTTTTTCTCTTGTTTTTCTTAAGATAACTTCAGTGTAAGCTATGGGAGTAGAAATGTCTTGTTTTTTGGAAGAGATGCATGAAGAGAGGCTGGTCAGAACTATACAATTAGTAACAGAATGAGAGCTGAATATTAGGTTTTTCTTCTAGAATATACTGCCTTTACATGTGATCTAGGCATTAACTCAACAATACGTTAAATATGAATTAACATACTAAAGTTACTTGAGCTTTTTCGAAATCATTTTTAAAAGCTAAGTCAGTTCCTGTCCTTAAATAGATGTTTAAGGACTCAGAACTATATAGTAGTATTTGAAATGGACTTTCGGGAGATTAGAAAAGTTACTTATGTGAAAAGGCAGAACCTTTTCCAAATGGAGGGTGGACCAAAAAAGTTCTTCTCTTTTTCTCCTGGATTTCCCTGGGTGTCCTAACATTCCTTGTGGCAGAGAGGAAGGCTTAGTTTCAAGAGGTTAGTGGTTAAAAGACAGTAAGAACTCAACAGAAAGCGCAGTGCTGTTTGTTCATTTCATGCCCTTTACCCAGTGTCCTTGTCTCTTTAATAAAGGAAAGATCAGTTTTTTAAAGATGGAAAAGTTTGGTTGATAAGAGTGTTTAGAGTAGAGAATCCGGATATTTTGCTAATAGAAGTGGTGTTGTAGGAGGGGTTTGTTACTAAATAAATTCTGCCAAGATCATGCTAGTTGTTTTGTAGCTTCACTAAGCATAATAAAAATGAAATCCAGGTTAATTGGAGGACATGTCTTATTGAGAAAGGCTAAGAAATCTGTATAAAAGAACTTTAAAACTGGGTGTGATACTAAATTATCTAATGTACTCGGGGTCAGAGAGATACAAGATGACCTTGGAGTTGACCGTGAAGATTTATTAAAAGCAGCCCACCAGCAAATAATTATTGACTATTTATTGAATAACTACTATGTGCTGGCACTATTTTTAGCATTGGGGTTAACTGTGAACAGGACAGACTCATTTCTTTAAAGCAGCTTACATTTTAGTGGGGAGACAAACATAAACAAGTGAAAATATAAAGAAATGAATTCCAGGCAAGTTCTATGAAGATGATAAAATAAGGTAAAGTACAGAGAGTGACTGCCTTAGTTGGGACAATAAGGGTAGTCTTCTCTGAGGAGATTATGTTTATGATGAGACCTGAATGATCAGGAGTCTGGTTGGGGGATGTTGATGAATGAAAGAGTTTTTATATTCCACTTAATTTTTAGATCATCAGCCTTCTTAGTGGGAGTGAATGTAATGGTTTATGTCTTTTTCCATCTACGATGTTACTATATTTTAAAATACTATGATTTGCCTGGTGATGAAGTAAATTTATATTAATTGCTCAGATTACCACTCTGAATTTCTTGTGGCTTGCTTAGGTGCAAAAATAGACCTTGAAATCCTCTGGCGGAGTTTTAAACTCAGTGTAATAGACCACATAGGAATTGAGTCCTCTGGCTTGTGGAGATCGCAAATGTGTGACACCTAACCAGTGATTTCAGGAATAAATGTCCCACTCTGAGTATAATATGTATGTGCTTGTGGTAGTATAACCTTGTAGAAAAAGAAAAATGAAAAATGAGAGAAGTGCCTAATTTCAAGTAGCTATTTGTATTTCTGCTTTTTTGCAGAAGGTTGAAGGAAAAATAATGGAGAGACTAGTTTAGGGAAATCTCTGGCCACTCTCAGTGGGACTGGAGAAAATAAGAGGTTCCTGGACTCTGTAAGTTTGGTTGGCTTGGACATGTCTACTTTGTCCAGGCAGAGCTTGCGCGGATACTGACACTGGTGTCTTCCCTCTGACAGATGGCTTAATCACAAAGGAGTGAGACAGAAGCGCCTGAATACCTGGCTGGGAATCAAGAATGAAGATGCTGATGAGTAAGTTTTTTCTCTACCCTTCTGTCACTGGGCTTTGTTCCCAATATAAGACATGGACCTTCTTTATACATGCTAAATGTTGGTTCTCATTGTCACTTGAGAACATTGAATCAAGAACTTTGCACCTCTTTTGAATTGAATTGCCTGAAGAGTACTCTTCTGTAAGGCTTGAGTTTAGAGACCTGCCGATCCTCGTGAAAGAAAAGCATTGCTCATTCAAATATTCATGGCAGCTTATGGTTGAGACATGTGAATTCTGTGCTTTCTGCACCATAGAAAGTAATGAAGTTGTTAAAAAACATCCAGGTAATTGCAATTTCATGTTGTCATTTTGTGGTTAAAGATTTAGAAGAGAGTTTTATTTGTGAATTTTCTTATAAGTAACCTGATTGTTAAAATAATATTCTGATATTTAATTTTTAGGACCTATTTTATCAATGAGGAAGATGAAAACCTGCCGCATTATGATGAGAAAACCTGGTTTGTTGAGGATATCAATCGAGTACAAGCAGAGGACTTGCTTTATGGGAAACCCGATGGTGCATTCTTAATTCGTGAGAGTAGCAAGAAAGGATGTTATGCTTGCTCTGTGGTGTAAGTCTTCTCTGGGGTATGACCTTTTGAAAACTTCTGCATTGATTAGTAGAAAATCAGCCCCCCATAAAATTCAGATCAAATTAGTCATACAGTAATGAGGGCCCATGGCTTAGACCATTAATATTTTACAAGGAAAACAGTTGCTTTGGGAGAAATGATATCTGAAACCATTTGGGGGATTTTAATTTAAATGGTAAGTAGATTAGGCCCTGCAGTGTTGCTATTGGATTTCAGATATTTGTGAAAAGTAATGTGAGATCTTTAATTGAAAAGATCACTTATTTCTTTAGTAGTCTTCTATGTGCCTAACTTGGTCTTCATTGTTAGATTAGAAAGGCTTGATTAACTAGAACTGTTTTTACAGTTCTATCTAAATTTTGTACCTAAATACTATTCTGCTGGGGTAGTGATAGAAAATGTTGAGTGTTTTCCGTAAGATGATTTTATGACTTTGTTTGAATAAGCTTGTTTTCCTTTTAATGGGAAGTGAAATTCTGGGGGCAACTAATCATGACTTGGTAGATTTTGCCTATTTCTTAAAAAGGCAAATTTCTACATTGACAAAGACCATACTTAGAGTGGAGGTGTAGTGTGATGGTTATGAGAGCAAGCTTTGGTGCCAGATGTACTGGATTCAAATCCTGACTCTGCTGCTTACCAGATGTGTGACCTGGGGTAGGTTACTTTTCTTTGCCCAGTTTTCTTACCTATAAAAGAAGGATAATAATACCTACGTGAGGGTTTTTGTAAGTATTAAATGAATTAATATATGTAATATGCTTTGATCAGTGCTGGCACATAATAAATGTTATCTACTAATATTATTATGATAATGATGTTACTGATGGCCACGGCAGAAGGCAAGCAAAGATGACAAAATGATTTTGCACTCAAAGAGTGCAAGGTGGTAAGGATAGAAATAAAGACACTCCTATTGACAGAGTGCTTAGTGCTTTACACGATCATCTTGTTTTTAGTGGTCTACTTCTATGATGGAGTCACAGTTTGAATCTAAGTGTACCTGGCTTCAAAGCCCACATTTTCCTATTATACCATCCTTCATTTCACAATTAAATATCCAAGATAAGTAGAATCACTGTGAAATAGGTATCATTAATAGTCTTTGCACATGAAGAACTATTAATTCTGGTGGAGGAAAGGGATTGAGAGGTTTTGTGGAGGAGGTAGCATTTGAACTGGACTTTGAAAGGTTGAATAATGGAGTATCTCTGGGCAGGAAATGGAGAAGGAGTTGAAAAGTACATTGGATTATTGTTACCCAAAGATAGAGCTACTTGAAAAACATTTCATTTCTCTCAAACCTAGGCTGCTCAAGTTATTCGAATGGAAATGGCAGAAGACACAAATTACTAAAATCAGCATGAAAGAGGGGACATTACTAATAGCTCTTACAGAAATTAAAAAAGATGATGAGGGAATAACATAAAGAATTATATGTAAACAGGTTAAATAACCTACATGAAATAGACAAATTCCTAGCAGCACACAAACTACTAAAATTGACAAGAGGAAATAGAATATCCGAATAGAACTATAACAAGTAAAGAAATTGAAGTATTATAAAAAGCTACCCACACACACACAAAAAAGCCCAGGCCCACTTGGCTTTAGTGGTAAATTTTACCACATGTTTTAAAAAGAATTAATACAAGTTTCTCACAAAGTCTTACACAAAATAGAAGATGAGAGAACATTTCCTAACTCATTTTACAAGGGCAATCAATATTACCGTGATACCCAATCTAGAAAAAGATATCACAAGAAAACTGGTTATAGTACATTCATCCCAGGAATGAATGCAAGAGTGGTTCAACATAAAAAAAAAGTCAATCAGTGCAATACAACATATTATTAAAGTAAAGGACAAAAGTCACATAATTATTTCAGTAGACTCACAAAGAGCATTTGCCAAAATTCAACACTCTCAATTTTAAAAAACACTGAACAAACTAGGAATAGGAGGGCACTTGCTCAACCTGATAAAGGGTTATCTATGAAAAACCCACAGCTAATATACTTAATCGTGAAAGACTAAATGCTTTTCCCTAAGATGAGGAAGAAGGCAAGGGTTTCTGCTCTTACCACTTTTAATCATCGTACAGAAGGTTCTAGCTAGGGCAGTTAGGCAAGAAAAAGAAATAAAAGGCATCCAGATTGGAAAGGAATAAGTAAATTAGTAGAGCTAATAAGTGAGTTTAGCAAGGTTGCAGATTAAACGATTTGGATACAATAATCAGTTGTATTTCTATATGCTAGAAACGAACAATCTGAAAATGACATGAAGAAGACATGTTATTTATAATAGCATCAAAAATGATAATACTTAGGATTAAACAAAAAAATACAAGAGCTGTACAGTGAAAACTATAAAACATCACTGAGAGAACTTAAAGAAGCCCTAAATAAGAGGAAAGATATCCAGTATTTATGGATCAAAAGACTTAATATTGTTAAGGTGGCAATACTTTCCAAATCAATCTGCATGCTCAATGTAACTCCAGCTGGATTTTTTTTTTTTTTTTAGAAATTGACAAGATGATCCTAAAATTCATATGAAAATGCAGGGGGTCCAGAACAGCTAAAATAATCTTAAAAGAATAGGAAAAAATTGATGTATGCCTCCTGATTTAAAAACTTACAGCAAAGCTATAGTAATCAAAATTGTGAGGTACTCACATAATGATAAACATGTAGATCAATTAATAGAGTTGAGAATCAAATAAATTCTTATATGTATGGTCAATTGGATTTGAACAAGGGTCTCAAGACCACTGGGGTAAAAATAGTCATTTCAGCACATGGTGCTGGGACAACTAGTAAGCCATATGCAAAAAAGTGAAGTTGGACCCCTGTCTCACACCATATGCAAAAACTGACTCAAAATGGAGTATAGACATAAATGTAAGAGTTACAAGTATAAAACACTTAGGGGAAAAGATAGGCATAAATCTGTGTGACTTTGGATTAGGTAGTAGTTCTTACACACCAAAAGCACAAACACCAAAAGAAAAAATAGATAGATTAGACTTGACCATAAGTAAAAACTTTTTGCATCAAGGGACACTATCAAGAAAGTGGAAAGACAACTCACAAAATGGGAGAAAATATTATAAATTATATATCTGTTAAGCGACTAGTGTCTAATACATAAAGAACTCTTACTAAAAAGACAAATGCCCCAATTTAAAATTTGGCAAAGGATTTAAATAGGCATTTTTCTGGGGAAGATATATAAGTGGTTAATAAGCATATGAAAAGATGCTCAACATCATTAGTCATTAGGGAACTGCAAATCAGAACCACAGTGAGATACCAGTAGGATGGCTATAAACTAAAAAAGATGGCCAATAACAAGTATTGGTAAGGATGTGGAGAAACTGGACCTTCTTACACTGCTGGTGGGAATATAAAATGGTGCAACCATTTTGAAAAAAAAGTTTGGCAGTTCCTCAAAAAATTAAACAGGGTTACCATATGACTTAGCAGTTCCAATCCTAGGTATACATCCAAGATAACTGAAAATGCATGTCCATACAAAAACTCGTACACAGATGATCAGAGCAACAGCATCCATAATAGCCAAAAAGTGAAAACAACCAAGTGTCCATCAATTGATGAATGGATAAACACAATGATATATCCATACAATGTAATATGATTCAGTCATAAGAAAAAAATGAAGTGCTGATACATGCTACAACATGGAAGACTTTGAAAATGGTGTACCAAGTGAAAGCCAGGTACAAAAGTTTGTGTGATACTGTGATTCCATTTACATGAAACATCAAGAATAGGCAAATCCTTAAAGACAAAGCGAGTTAGTGTCCAGAGCCTAGGGGGAGGGAGGAATACAGAGTGATTGCTGATGGGTACATGGTTTCTTTTTAGGGTGATAAAACTATTCTAGAATTAGATAGTGGTGATTGTTGCACAATCTTATGAGTATCCTAAAAACAACTGATTTATATACTAAAAAAAAAATTGTTTTTGGTTTGTTCTTCCCCTTTCCAGTATTCTTGCCTAATGAAGATCCAGATCTGAGTGATTAAATGCAGCCATCCATTTTAGCTTTACCAGGTCTTGGTGGGAGGTTAAGGGGTATCTCTGTGACGAGTCTATAGGCGTGGTATGGGGAACACACAGGGTTGTGACATTTTACAGCTTAATTGACAGACTGTTTCTACTTCTTTACAGAACAGTTGCCTTCACACTTCTGGTCATTTTGGGTCCCTTTATCATTATTTACGTTAATGCCCTGTGGTGTTTGTGTGTCTCGTTGCAGTGCCGATGGGGAAGTGAAGCACTGTGTGATCTACAGCACTGCTCGGGGCTATGGCTTTGCAGAGCCCTACAACCTGTATGGCTCACTGAAGGAGCTGGTGCTCCATTACCAGCAGACATCCCTCGTCCAGCACAACGACTCCCTCAACGTCAGGCTTGCCTACCCTGTCCACGCACAGATGCCCTCGCTCTGCAGATAAAGAGGGAGTGGGAAGAGAGGTGGCTCTCTAGCATTTTTTTCTACAGTTTTTATTAGACTATGAGGGCATTCTTTCTACGTAGACTGCTTGTTTTGCACAAGAAGTGATTCTGTGAATGTGAAGTGGAGAGGCCGAGCAGCAGCCGGCCAGGATGGGGGCATAAGGGGCCTGAGATTCTCTGGGACTCAGCCATGCCGCTGCACTGACATAGGAAGCTGGAAGCAGATGTTGTTTTTTGGGAATTCTGTTTCATTGGGGTTTTTGTTTTGTTTAGCCAGGCAGCCTCAACAGAACACATTAGGCTTGATGGGGGTGGGAGGTTGTATCTGGAAGTCTCTGAAGAGTCCATGTCCTCTTTTGGTCTTTGACTCAGAATTTGTCAGGGGCATGGTTCTGTAGGGAGTTCTGTTTTGATCCGGCAGCCTGTCTTCCTCCCAAAGAGAAAGCTGTTTTGGTCCTGTGGTAGAATGGCATTTGGTGAAAAAGGCAACCAAAGGAAAATGGGGAGGCTTGGGATTTCATTTACGGACTCTCAGTCAAGGGAATAAAAAAAATCTTCAACTGAATGTACTGTTTCTTAACCAACATAACTTAGGCATCAGTATCTCATAGCTCCTCCCTTTAAAGAAGCATTGTTTAGAAACCAAACCGATCCCAGCAAAACAATGTTTGTTGCCGGACTAAGGTCTGATGGAAGAAGGCGGCACTAGTGTCTGAATGCACACTTCTGTACCAAAACTTGAAAATAAAAGGAAAACTAAAATTTGTTAGTTTTAGCCAATACTAAAATTGGTCAGTGTAACTCCTTCTGCCCTGCCCTTGTTTCTCAGAGATAAAGAATAGTGTTCTTTTTGTGGGCATGTGAGCTTTGAATCATAAAATGAAGTTGGTGCTTGTGTGGTGTTTCCTTAGCCTAAAGAATGATCTGTTGTTTGAAATCTTTGTAACTTGTTTGTATGAGTAAAGAAAAGGTGCAATCCAGTGCTTTTAGATGGCTTGATATACCAAATAATGATACAGAACAAAATTTTTATATGTGCTTCCCCAAGTTTAAAGGCCCAGCAGAAACAGTGAACACGGTTTGATTACTCTTTATCTCCTGTTCTTTGCTGGGTAGGGCTTCGGGGAGTCATACATAGGTTGCTAAGGCTGTAGCAGGAAGGGAGCCAAGCTGTGGTCAGGGACCTCAGTAAATCACAGACCCAGGGGCTCTGGTGTCCAGCGCCAGGGCCATACCATTTTACCTGTGTGCTTCCATACAGCGGCTTCTGCAGCTTCTGCAAGGAAAGGAAAGGATGGTTTGTAGTTTAGACTGTATGTAGAAACCAGCTGGAGGCTTTTCTCTTTGCCCTTTTTGTGATCCTGTCATTAAGATGATGTGCACAGACTGTCCTGATTTTAGGCCAGGAATCTTCTGCTCCATGTGGCTTAAGCCTTCCATCTGAGTGAAGCTAAGCGAATGGAGTTGGAGGCAGGCATCTCCTCCTACCTCCATCATGCCCCACCCCCATCAGTCAACACTGATTTGACAAATAGAGTCCAGCTGCCTTTGAGCCAAACCTGGAACCATAATAGGCTCAGAGTGAGTCAGCTGTTTGAGTCCAAAGCTGTGCAGTCAGGCGTCCTGGCTGAGCTAGACAAGGAGCCAGTGTCTGGGTCTCGTACATGATGCATGCACACAGCTAGGAAAGCTCTAGTTTGGGGGATGAAAGACAAATAAATACTGCTTTCCCTGAGCACTTATCTGGGTGACAGGGTCTAGAATGGACCATGATGTAGAAATAGATAGAAAGTTTTGGAAAAACTTCCAGAGTTAACTAACAATGAGGATAGGAAGGAAAAGGCATATCTTTGGGCTTTTCCTTGGTTACATTGCAGTTTCAGGGTTCGGTGAGACAGAGAAATGGACCCCCCTCCAATGTCACTGTTTTGACTTAAGCCCTTAACTGATAGTCAGCCAGCTGCACATCCCTTTTTCAAATTGCCACATTGAAATCTTGCTGAAAGTTTTACTGAGTAATGGCAGGCTATTTGCTGCTAGCCACACCTGGCCTCGCACCTGGTGTCGAACCTGCGTAAGCAGTTGGGCTCAGGATTGAGTGCAAGGAATCCCTCCTTTCTGGTACTAAAATTTAGTGTTCTGAATGTCTTAAATAAAAACGGGAATAAGGATACACACTTGTAACACGGAACTGCGTTGCTCCTTGTCAGGCAGACATTAAGGGTGTGCAGGGAGAGAGCTAGCACCATCTATTATCCACACTTGGGCTGGCTTGTGGAAAAGGGGCTGCTCTCATTTAGTCCTACATTGCTTCACTTTTTCTTTCCTGTTTTTTATTCTTGAATTTGTTGCTTTGTGAGAACTAAGACCTAGGGATCGTTTGGGAAGTTGAAGAGTATCTTTTCTGACTAGTTGCCACATGATTTGCTTGATCTTGAGTCAGTGGAAATGGCTTAGGGGCCAGCCTGCTAGCCACTTGTTAGGGTAAGATGCTGCTCCTTTACTGCATGGTTTTGGCAGCAAGTCTTGGTCTCCATCTGAGTCTAGTTCTGTGTCTTGTCCCATCTGGGCCCTGCGATTCCCTCGGCATCTTAACTGCAGCCTCACTGAGGCAGGGGTAACAAGACAGAGCAAGACCAGAGGGGCCTACTGTTTTTCTGGCCATAGAAGCCAGCTGCCAACATGGAAGCAACTTGGGGCTGGCTGGACACAGGTCCAAGGCCCATCTTTGCCAGGTGGAGCTTTCATCACAGAACAGTGTCTCTACTTGGCCATAAATGCTAAACCTTGGCCATGGCTCAGGCCTGTATAAGGTAGCTCTGCCCTTACCACTGATTTGGCCAAGGTTGAGGACTTTCTAGTAACTCCCCCACCTCATCTCATCTCCAAGCCCTGATGGGACCTCTCACTATTTTTGGCCTCATGTGCTCTGAAGAAGCCTTTTTGAGAGCCTGTGTGGTATCTTCCATGGGTCTCCTCTTCGTGCTGCAAGGAACCAGCCTCAAGGGTCCTCTTGGGCCAAGAATTGCACTTGGGCAATTCCTGGTTTTCAAGATGGTCTCTGTGGCCAGTTAAGACTCCAGAGTAGTCCTCTGTGAGGCTTTAGTGGCCTCAAAGCAGAGGATCCAGATGGGGGCTTGGCTGGGCCCTCTGCTGCCAACTGCTCAGCCTTGCTCCAGCTCCAGCCACTTGTGACAACCAACCTTATTTCCTTACAGATTCCAGCATGTGACTTTGGTGCCCTGTTGTTACTTGTGAAAAACCTATTCTGTTGTCTTTGATGTAGTCAAAAAAATTCATGTAGTTTACCTAAAAATATCTGATTCACAAGGAAGCCAACTATATGTCTTGTGTTGGGACCGTTCATAATGTAGTTCCTAGACCACTTTTGCAAATTGTTCTTGTCACCAGATGTGTTCAGACATTGCTGTGCAGTTGTGGGGGAGGGAGGGGGGAAGGTGAGGGGAGATACTTTTTGGTCTTTTTGTTTTTTACCTTCCCCAAGAGGGGACAGTCTGGCCAACTTGCTCCAGTAATGCAATAAAGACATTGCAATAAAGTACCTTTGTGTCCTTGTGTTGTGGAGGGGTGGGCTGGGGGAAGGGGAAGAGGACTAGAGTGTTGAAAAGCCCTGAAACTTCAAAACCTTCTCGCCCATGAGTACCAAAAGAGGCTCCCTTCTATTCCCGAAGAAGAGGAAGATGACCCTAACAGGTATAATGCCAGGATCCTGTCTACCTGACACACGGAGACTCAGAAGCTAACTCCGAGAAAGTTAAATCTGAGAGCCATTTCCTCCTCGCCCCATTCCTGGCTAGTTATTAGAAAGCTCATTCTCATCACGGCTTTCTGCCTGGAAATAAAAGTGCTTCCACATTATATTCTAGAGGCAGGGGAGATGGGCTCAATCTTACATTCTTTCCTCTTGTTGCCCCATGGCACTTTGCTGAGGTTCCTATGTGTTAGGAATATAATCAACAAACAAGTGACAACCTCTTCTTGCAGAACATTGCAGTTCTCTTCTGTGTCTCAGGCCCCACCCAGATATGTAATGAATTACAAATCAGATCAGGTAAGGGAATAGTCTATTTGAAATGACCTTGCCTATGCCCTTCTTCTTCACTGCACTTTAGCTACATAGCATCCTCCAGGCTGCTGTTAAGAACTATGGATGATTTCCCTAATCCCGAGTTGTTTCCACCCTGCACAACTCTCAAATTATCTTCAGCCTAATCCTCTCTTCTGTGCTCCACCTGCTGGCTGGATATTGCCACTGGGTCTGTGGGTGTCTCGCAGGCACTGCAAACTTTATATAGAGAGAACGTGCTTGGTTATGAATTCCTTTACCTTCTTAACACCAAACTTACAAACCTGTCTATGTCTCTATAAACTCCTCACCTATTAAATTACAAAAGGTAGCTCTTCCAACTAAAAGCCAATCTCCACATGTATTTTGGATCCTGTTTTCCCCCACCTTCTCTTGAATCTCCCATGATCAGTTATCAATTCTTTCACTATTGTTTCCTCTCAACTTGATCATCCAGCGACATTTGAACATGGTTGGGTATCTGGCCTTTATTGGCTAACGTAATTGGAGAATCTGATCGTGGATCTCAAATATCCTAAGCACCATGTGTCTCTCCCCATCTGTGCTCTGCTAGCTCATGCTTGGTTTCATTTTGTGTATAGGCTCTCCAGGTGGACAAGATGGCCCCACAGCGCCAGACTCATACCCTCTGATGTTGGTGGCTCTGCGGGGGAGAGATGGTCTTTTCAGGTACTGGAGGCTTGTCTGTTTCATATATTCATAGTGAACGCAGCATAACAATGTCTATGAGAAGAGGGCCTTGATGGACTCAGCTTAAACTACGTTCCTGTGGTGAGACAGGACTTGTGATGGATTGCTCCGCAGGGATGGCCCAAAGTGGGAGTGGTACTTTTCGTAGGAAGCAATGGTGACTGTTCAATTTTAAAAATAGCAAAAGTCAATTTTTAGTCCAAAACATAAATTATGAATCAGAATTAAACAGAACAGTCAATGAAATATTTCGTGCAATTTAAAAAATACTGCGTATTTTCCATCAATATAAGGAAATACAGTGTGTAAAAAAAAAAACCCCAAACATGGTCGAGTAGCTTTCACTCCATTTCTCCAATCCCTACTCAATCCTATATTCTTTCATTATCTTTTCTTCAAAGCCACACCTTCTGAAAAAACTGTCTAAATTTGTCTTTATCTCCTTACCTCCTCCAGCATTTCAGTGCAGTTTCCACCATTTCCTGAAACTGCTCTCTTTGATGTCTTCAGTAACCGTCATTGCCGACTACTTTTCTCCATGAAAAACTGTCTCCATGACAACTCATTCATCTAGTTTTCCTCTTACATCTCTGTTCCTTTTAATTCTCCTGGACTCCTGCTGCCTCTCACTTATGACTTTTTCCCTGGCAGTTTTATCCGTATCTATGAATTCGCCTACCATCTCTAGGCCATTTACGTCCATCTTTGTTTCTTCTGCCCAGACCTCTATTGAGAGGTACCCTAGGTTCAGCATACTGAATGCAGGATCACCGCCTTGCCCTGGTTCTCTTCCATTATTTCTATCTTAGTGAATGGAAATATATAATTCATCTGGTTATACAAGTCAGAAATGTAGTTATTATTCTTGATATCTTCTGTTTCATGTCTACATAAAACTCACCCCAACCCATATCAGTTTTACTAAATATCGAAGACATCATTTTTCTCCATTTTCTCACTATCTCTTAATACTGGAAGGCCCCCCTTCTTCCCCCGCTCAAATCCATTCTCATTATAGCAACCGGAGTCATCTTTTCAAAATGCAAATCTGAACCTGTGTAAAACCATTAAATAACTTTCAATTGCTCTTAGGATAAATTGCAAAATTCTTAAAATGGGCTGGCTTCTCCCAAGTTCAGGATCTCATTCCCCACTTCAACTCCTCTTCAATGGCTTTC